GGCAGCTTTCCAGCCCCTCTGCCCCACGCCTGGAGCGTTGCCTGGGGTTGTTGTGCCACAACACTCCCCCACATTCCCCATTTGCCCCAAACCTATTCCTTGGGTTCAGAGACTGAAGTCCCACCAAACCCCACAAATACTGAGGCTCTGACCTCTACCCTGCTGCAGTTTCAGGCTGAAGTCTGCCCTCTGCTCCCTCTGCCCGCAGCCATGCTGAGCCTCCCTCCTTTTCCTGCCTGCCCCGGAGCAGTACCTCTCTTACATCTAGTAGAAATTTAGAAAACCAGACAATAGATACATTTCCCAAAAATCTGCCTGCATGGAATTTAGAGCTGAAAGAGGATGAATGGTAGTCTGACCGAAATGCGTAAAAGCCACCGTGACAAAGCATTTAAACAAAACAACCGACACGCCAGAACAAGTAGTATTACTCATACAACCAAGTTTACCACCTGCTAAGTATTTCCACTATTGCAGCTTAAAACTCAGCGTAGCACATATGTGCAATCTTTCGAGGGGCTGCTATTTATTTGTATCATGAGAAGGCTCATTAGCATTTCTGAGGTACGCATGTTCTCTAGACTGCAATGTTACAGGAAAAGACGCACAGCTGAATCAGAAAAGCCACCCTGAAAAGTAAAAGCTGTTTTAAGTTAATGAAATTACCCTCAAAAAAAGGAAACTGGCTTCTAAAATAGTTTTACTGAAGTCAGGGCTGGGAGATTTAAACCTGAAACCTTCCAGCAGCCTTTACAGATGTTTGCTTTTGCATTCTGTTTTCTTTTGAGCAGAACAAGTTTTCCATCAAAATGTAGTTTGTTTTCAAGTTTGTTTTCAAGTAGAAACAGTCTAAACGAGCCCTCAGAAGCATTTGCTTTGCCATCAAGCACCATCCCCGACCACGACATACCATCGACCATGCATCAGGTATTTGTGGATGATGCTCTCTCGTAGAATTTCTTTGTGGAACAATTGGCAGGAAAGGAAGACAACGAGAGTTGTCACAGCTTCCAAGGAAATGCTGTATGTAATATCCCTGCAGGAAAAAAAGGAACATTTATCAAGATTAATCTACTGGGGTTGTTTACAAACTGACTTCCAAGAACACTTGGTAGCTTCACCTGAGGTTATACACTGTTTAGGCACAGTGAGTTTCCATTGGGAACATGTAAACAATAAATTTAAAAAACCCAGAATCACTTCATACCAACAATGGGTTGTTTTTCTTAGACATAAGCTTTTTTTTTTTTTTAATATGCCAAAAGACAAGACAATGTAAAAACATTGCAGCTGGAATGTTCTGGGCATTATCTCAATTTTCAGACTACACTTCACTCTAGAAATAATAAATATCTCTCAAAAGTGTTTCCTTTGTCCTGTTAAATAAAATTGTCACAAAACCATCATGCTAAGTCAGGGAAATGTCCAGCTCGCCAAACTCAGCTCCATCTGCCAAGAAAAGTGGATCTCTAAGAAAGGAATAAAACACCCCAATGCTAGGTTAAGTGTAAGAAATGCTGAGGACATGAAGATATTACATACAGTTGTTCAGTTTTAAACGGTATTTTTGACATAATGGTGAAGTCTAAAGTTTCAAGATATTACAACCAATCCCAAAGAATGTGCTTTAATGACTAAATACTGACACCAGATAGCTTAGCAAAGCTCATTAAGTTAAGGTTAATTAGGAAAGGCTGTGCCACAAAATGGATGAGAGACACCTCCACTCTTTGGAATATCTTGTGCTCTCTTTTCCCACCTCTACCTATGGTGACCTTCTTACCTATCTTATTTTTAAAAGGGAGAGAAAAATGGCATTTGGCTCCTTAATCAGTAATAAACTGCAACAAGAAACCTTTTAAAACACAATGAAGTAACTCAGACATGACTCAGTATCACTCCTGCTTCCAACCAAAGACCATTTTTACCACCTCCAGAAGTAAGGAGATATTTCATCCAGTGCAACATTACCATCCTGTAACCCATTAGCAAGATTGTTATTAAGTACTTTTAATGTTTCCCCGACCCTTACTATTTAATTTCCATAGTACGCTTCACAATCCAGTATTGTTAAGTTACAACAGGCATCCAGCGTCAATTATCAAGGGGTTTTGACCTGAGACCTACTGGAAATTCAAAATCTATCTATATACTTCTCAAATTCAAAGATTTTACAGTCTCTATTTACAATTAAAAAAAAAATAATCAGCATCAATGTGTGTTTAAGCAGTGATGCTAAGTTTTTCTTTGTTACAATGTCACCTTCCAAGAATCTTATTCTTAGCAGTTAAAATAAGCATAAACATGAAACTAAGTGTTCTTTTATATAACTATGACTTGGAAACTACAGCGCAACCTCTCTTGAAACAAAATAAATTAACCACAGAAAAGACCGCCTGGCATAAAACTCCTCATTACTCTCAGGATTAGAACTGGTGTGGTCCTTACCAAAATGAAGAAGATTTCATTTGGAAGAAATCAGTCTGATTTTTAGCACACTCAGTTACTTTAATATTATCAAGTGTGCTGCTAGAAATGCTGCAAATAACATGCATTGCTGTAAAACATGAGGAAGAAGCAGCGTTTTGTGCATCACGGTGCCTAGGCAGCTTAAGTTAAGCTCTTCGGCAGTAGCTCTAGGCCAGAGTTTCAGAGCAAAGAGTGTGCTCGTTATGTGCTCCAAGTCAAGAGCAAACTGGAATCACAATTTCCTGAATCACCGTCCACACAACCGCACTACCTCTGATACAAAAATGTTTTTGAAAGGGAAGGTTATGCAAACTCACGGTTGGTTTGTTTTTTTTTCCCCTCTCACATGGTTTAAGTAGTTGAATCGGTAACATTTGAAGTGATACGTCAGGAAGAGACGGACTGCTTTAATAACATTCTTCCTTAAAATCATCAAGTACATTTTAATTACTTTTAGTTTGGGTGAGTTACCTGACTTTTTGCCCACTACTGAGGAAGTTAGCCGGTGTAAACGCTGATGATTGGAGCAGGCCAGAGGTTACGCCGTGATCTGCTTCCACTGCAAATGCATGGCAGCCGGAGGCAAGGCTGAGCTAGGAAAGGTGCCCGCTCCCTCTCCAAAACCGCGATGCTTTGCAATCCACTACCCACATCCACCCCAAGCAAAGCAGGGAAGACCTACAGGTACTGATTATTAGAAGTTTAGCCACCAGCAAAACAAGTTAAGAAATGCTTTTCTATCAAAATAAAAAACAACAGCTTGGAAAAAAAAAACACTTTTTAGCTAGAGCAAAAAAATAATCAGAACCTTATCATTACCAAGAATACAAGAGTAATGTCTCCAACCCTGAGTTGATGAATGAAAAGGCTGACTTCGTGACATGCCACAACATCCAAAACAGCTGGGTCACTTTGCCAAGAACCACCACATTTCAGAGTCTAGTCTACTTTTTCTCCATCTCAAGCATTCATTTATTTCTTTTTCTGGCAAACCATCCAAGCGGAATAGCAAATCTGAGGAGACGCTACAAACTTCTTTTACACTGGATCTGTTTTTATAAGATCCAGTATAAAGAAATAAACAAAGAAGTTACTGTAATAATGTATTAAGTAATTTTTTTTTTTTTTTTGGGGGGGGGGGGGAATCTGCTTTCAGTACCTTTATATAACTCTGAAAGAAAAACAGCAGAAAGCAAGCTAAATTCATGCGGCTCCAGTTAATGAGTTACTCTCATTTTCTTTCTATTCAAAACCCAGTTAGGGCACATTTAACTTCAGAAACATTCCACTCAACCTGTAGGATCTGTTCAAACTAAATCTGCTCTGACATAAACACAACCAGAGAGTCCTGATATCTGGGGTTACCCCTCAGCTACAGCCACCCTTAATTTATCAGCACATGGATAAAGATTCAGAGCAAAATTATTTTCTCTATCAAGGGTCAGATGTACAGTTTTCTGAAACTCAAGCATTTCTAAAGGGTCACAAGAACTACCAGGAACCTCTTTTAACTTCAAAGAAAATACTGTTTATTTATACTGAGAGACTATAGAATGGGGGGGGGGGGGGTTGGGGTTTTTTTTTTTTTTTTTTTTTTTTTATTCCAAGCTATCAGTCATATAGAATGACTTTACATGGAATTTATGCTGCTCTCCAACTTCCTCTGAAAACTGTTTGCTTGCAGATAAGGAGGAAACTAGAAATAATGAACTCATGTATCAATTCCATGCCAAAATTATTTAGCTATTTATTTCAGAAAACCAGAAGAACTGCATGCTGGTTTGAGTTTCTGCGGGTTGGAGTTTGGTTTTTTCCTTCCCAAGACAAAAAAATCCACAGAACTCAGAAAAAGCTCACATCTCAAGTAAATGGGTTTCATAGTGCAATGTACCAAACCATACACAGGTCCTCTTATTTTTTTTCCCCCTCCCTCTGGATTTTCTTATTTGGAGATTTCAATAGTTATTCTCACTTATTTTTTTCCTCTTTTTCTCCTTCCCACTGGGCGATATACTCCCGTATCAGGTAGATGAGCAAACAGATATTATTCTTTCGTCCCTCTAAAGACGTACTTCTTTCATGAGGGAACAACCTGGCATAGACTGAACTCTAGAAATCATGGCAATCATTTCTCTCCTGCATTTGGGTTCTTTCCTTACTACACGTGGCTGTCCTCCTTGGTATCACATTTCTTCTGCAGTGACACAAAGCAAGCGCCTGTTCTTTAACCAGAACTACCAGGAGGTTGTGGTGAGGTGGGTGTTGGTCTCTGCTCCCAGGGAAGGGGCGATGGGACGAGGGGAAACAGCCTCAAGTTGTGCCAGGGCAGGGTGAGGTTGGCCATGGGGAACAATTCCTTCCCCTTGGGGCTGTCAGGCACTGGGAGGGTCTGCCCAGGGAAGGGGTCGAGTCCCCACCCCTGGGGGGATTTAACAGCCGGGCAGCCGAGGTGCTGAGGGCCAGGGTTTAGTGGTGGGATGGCAGGGGTAGGGGAACGGTTGGGCTTGGGGATCTGAAAGGGCTTTTCCGACCTAAACAATACTATGATTCTCTGATTCTACAAACAGGTCCAAGTTCTTGCATGTGACACCCAAGTTAATACCAACTTCTGGCATCAAACCTTCTACATACAGATTTAGTCTCTAAAGCAAAGGCATATCATACATATCCATGATTATTTTAAATTATGAATTCTTCAGCAAATGATGACTTGAGCTCCAAAATGCAAGATTCCTAGATGCCAGCATAACATAAATATGTGCATGTATTGAACACACCGTTTAGTATCTACATTTCAATGAGAAACAGCTGATATGCCAATGGATTCCTTCAAAAAGCAATGATGCGAGATCATTTCAATGCATGCTTTTAAATTAAACCACCATGAATCATAGAATCATAGAATCATAGAATCATAGAATCATAGAATCATAGAATCATAGAATCATAGAATCATAGAATCATAGAATCATAGAATCATAGAATGTTTTGGGTTGGAAGGGACCCCTAGAGGTCACCCAGCCCAACCCCCCTGCAGGAGCAGGGACACCGCTAACTAGATCAGGTTGCTCAGAGCCCCGTCCAACCTGGCCTTGAATG